AGAGGGAATAGAGAGGGAAGAGATGGGAAAGAGAGGGGGAACTGAGAGGGAATAGAGAGGGAAAAGATGGGAAATCGAGGGGGAATTGAGAGGGAAAAGATGGGAAATCGAGGGGGAATTGAGAGGGAATGGGGGGGAACTGAGAGGGAAGAGAAGGAGAAGTGAGAGGGAAAAGATGGGAAATCGAGGGAGAAGTGAGAGGAAATAGAAATAGAACTGAGAGGGAATAGAGTGAGAACTGAGAGGGAATAGAAGGAGAACTGAGAGGGAAAAGATGGGAAATCGAGGGAGAATTGAGAGGAAATAGGACTGAGAGGGAATAGAGTGAGAACCGAGTGGGAAAAGATGGGAAATAGAGGGAGAACTGAGAGGGGAAAGATGGGAAATCGAGGGGGAATTGAGAGGGAATAGAAGGAGAACTGAGAGGGAAAAGATGGGAAATCGAGGGAGAATTGAGAGGGAATAGAAGGAGAACTGAGAGGGAATAGAGGGAGAAGTGAGAGGGAAAAGATGGGAAATCGAGGGAGAATTTGAAAGGGAACAGATGGGAAATCGAGGGAGAATTGAGAGGAAATACGACTGAGAGGGAATAGAGTGAGAACTGAGTGGGAAAAGATGGGAAATCGGGGGGGAATTGAGAGGGAAAAGATGGGAAATTGAGGGGGAATTGAGAGGGAATAGGGGGCAATCGAGAGGGAGAAGAGATGGGAAATACAGAGGGAATAGAGAGGGAAGAGATGGGAAAGAGAGGGGGAACTGAGAGGGGGAAGATGGGAAATCGAGGGAGAATTGAGAGGGGAAAGATGGGAAATAGAGGGGGAATTGAGAGGGAATAGAAGAAAAATTGAGAGGGAAAAGATGGGAAATAGAGGGAGAATTGACAGGGAAAGGATGGGAAATATAGGGGGAATTGAGAGGGAATAGAAGGAGAACTGAGAGGGAAAAGATGGGAAATAGAGGGAGAATTGACAGGGAACAGAAGAAGAACTGAGAGGGAAAAGATGGGAAAACGAGGGAGAACTGAGAGGGAAAAGATGGGAAATCGAGGGGGAATTGAGAGGGAATAGAAGGAGAACTGAGAGGGAATAGAGGGAGAACAGAGAGGGAAAAGACGGGAAATCGAGGGAGAATTGAGAGGAAATAGAAATAGAACTGAGAGGGAATAGAGGGAGAAGTGAGAAGGAAAAGATGGGAAATCGAGGGGGAATTGAGAGGGAAAAGATGGGAAATATAGGGGAAATTGAGAGGGAATAGAAGGAGAACTGAGAGGGAATAGAGGGAAAAGTGAGAGGGAAAAGACGGGAAAACAAGGGAGAATTGAGAGAGCGGAGAGGGAGCCGGGGCAGGGGGAAGGGTGGTGGGAGGAGAGGGAGGAAGGAGGGCTGAGGGGAGCGGGGCTGGGGGAGACCGGCTCGGGGGAAAAGAGGAGGAGGAGGGCAGAGGGAGGGACGGGGGAAGGAAAGGAGGGGAGGAAGGAGAGGTGGAGAGGGGGAGGGCTGGATGGCCGAGGCCATCCCTGGCTCCCTCCGGGGGAGACCCGGCAGCTCCGCCGAACACCTGCAAAATGGCGGCGGCGGCTCCTCACGGGGCCTTAAATCACCTCGGCCCCGCCCCCGCGCATGCGCGCTGCGGCCTCGCGCACCTGCGCCGGCTCCGCCCCCCCCGAGGCCCCGCCCCCCGCCTCCCCTGAGGGGAACTCAGTCGGTCCCGGGGTCCCGGGCGGGATCGGTCCGTCCGTCGGTCCCGGGACCCCAAACACGGTCCGTCCGTCGGTCCCGGGGCCCCGGGCAGGGTCCGTCCGTCGGTCCCGATGCCCCGGGCAGGGTCCGTCCGTCGGTCCCGCTGCCCCGGCGCTCGGCGGGCAGGAGGGGCCGAGCCCCGGCGCTCGGGCAGCCCCGGGCGGGGGGGCGGGGGGGGGGGGCGGAATAAATGGTGTTATTATCTTTCCCTGCTCTCTGCAGTCTCCCAGTGACGTTTTGTGTGTCCTGAGGGAACCAGGGGCTTCGTTTTTACTTCCAAACCCCCCAGTTCAAGTGGCCGGGAATTCCCGTTCAGGGCCTTGCTCCAAAAGGTGTTGGCAGAAAAGGGGAATTTTGGGGTTGGAATGTGGGGTCACCTCACTCACTGCACCGGGGGCGAGCGCGAATCCCTCACCTTTAATCCCTCACAAACCAGAGGCTACTCCAGACATCAGCGTTCCGAGGCGTGCAACAGGTCACAGGCGACAAAAAAGGGTTTTAAATACCACTGGATGTTAAATAAATCTCTGGGAAGAAGTAGAAAAAGGAAGCACAAAAAAAACCCAATCGCTGAGGAACGTTGTCTGCAGCCGAATTCACCAAATTCACCGTGGACGGGACGGGGGAAAGGAGTAAAAATCACACGCAGCAGCTTCCAACACGGTTTTTTCTCCCGCTCTCCTAAAAGTTTGGGAACGCAGCGGCTCGATGTGCTCGGAAAAAAACGACACCGGCAGCGGGTCTAGCAGGGAAATTAAGGAAAATGCTCGTTTTGCCAAGTAGATGATATTTAATCGTCACGAAATAAGGTCTGAGAGCGTCTGAAATCAATTGGAAAGTAAACACGAAGCCGGACTACTACACCTGGAAAATGATTTAATTCCATTCGTTGCCGTTAGAAAGGATGTAAAATATTTATTTTGAGGGCTTGGCCTGCAGAGGCACGACATAAATAAGAGGGAAAAGTCCTGCTGAAATGTGATGTGGGCACGGTCCCCGACCCGGGGGCTCGGCCCCCGCGCTGCCGGGGGCTTCCATCCTTCCGTCCCCGGCCCGGGGCCACCAACTGCTCTCCCCACACGGTCCCTGGGGGGGTCTCTCCTCCCCCCTGGGCAGGGCCAGCAAAATGTGCTTGGAGGGGGCGCCGGGGCCGCCGGGTTAATCCACCCCTTCGAAGCCCTGGGCGTTCTCCACGGCCATGAGGAGCTTCTCGCGCAGGTCCTCGAAGGAGTCGTAGAGAGGTAAGTCCAGGCGGTTAAAGCTGCGAGGAGAAGGCAAAGAAGAGTCACTCCACCAGCCAGGGAAGAGCAGAGATGCTTTTAGAGGCAGACAAAAGCCATCAGGGGGTGGAGCTTGTGGTCCAACAGTTGGCCAAGAATTTTTGGGCTCTCTGTGGATGTCAGACTTTGCTGGAGAGCTCCTCCCACCCACTGACTGCGATGGGGAACAATAAAACAACACTTTTCCCGTCCCTGAGTTGGTGAAGGCACCGGGGGAACCACCCATTCCTCAGAGCATCCAAGGATCCAGAGCAGAGGGACCCTCCAGGGTGACTTTTGGGGACTTACCAGGTGTGAGCTCGGGGCAGCTTGTCAGGACTTCCCCACTGCTCGATTGTAAACAGCTGAGGACCATTTGAACCTAGAGGAAATAAAACACAAAAAATAAAACCAAAAATAAAATAAAACCCCACACCAAACAGGAACTGCAGAAAACACCTAAAATGTTATTTTTAACACCAAACACCTCAATGTTATTTTTGACACCAAACGTCGGCTGCGGGCCGGGATCTTTCACCCGCCACCGAAACGTGGTTATTTCTCTCCCAGCTTGTTTCAGAGCCGGTGTCGTGCTCAGAGAGGGACATTTAGAACTCAGGGCTCTGAGGGAGGGCTGGATTTCTCTCCTGCCCCCAGCAGCTCACCGTAAAGTTCAGCAAATCCATTCATAGGCACTCGAGACGTCCCGGTGACGAACTGCAGGAGCCGGATGCGCTTCTCGGCGTCCATCAGCAGGACGGCCTGGGGGGGCAAACACACACTGTCAGGCCTTGAAGGGCAGGAGAAAGGACAAGAAAACCCTTGGGACACGACAGAGAGTCTCCATCTGATCCAGGCCCCCATCGTTGTGAGAGGCGGGAGCGGGACGCTTCCCTCCCGGCGCAACCCCCGCCCTCGAAACCTCGGGAGGTTTCCAAGGAGAAAAAACCGATCGCAGCGTTGATTTTTGGCAAGAGTGGAGAGGTGGAGAGCCAGGCTCACCTTCCAGAACCACTGGATGACGGGGTGGTTGGGGCAGTAACCGTTTTTGTAGATGGTGTGTTGCCTCCAGTCGTTGACGTCGACGTCGCCGAGGCCGCACATGAGGAGCTGCAGGGGGGCAAAGCACCGGGGGGGTCACCGAGGGGTCGTGCCCGTTCCCTCAGGGAGACTGAGGCGGCCCAGACCGTGGCACATCTCCCTGGCAGAGCTCTGGGCACCAAAGACTCACCTCCAGCTCGTTCTCGTCGAAAATTTTGATCAGGTCGATGGGAAGCAGTTCGGTGAAGCCCTGCGAAGAAGCGGAGTTAAAACGGTCACCCCACGTAAATCCCAACCAAAAAAAAATCAGGGGCCAAATGACTGCGAGCTCAAATCATTTCAGCTCGAAAGAGAATGGGTAAAATTATAAAAATCATAATAAAAGCCATCTAAAAGTCATATAAAATCGTATAAAAACCATAAGCGTTCCGTCGGCGTGCCCAGCCGAGCTCCCTTCCCACAGACCCCCTTGGGGTAAGAAAATCTCCACTAGAAAATGTATTTTAACCCCTTGCTTTCCCAAAATTCAGAGCCTCACCTCCAAAAATGCATTCATTTGCTTCTGCACCCTGTTGACGAAGCGCCACTGGATGACCAGGCTGCGGAGAGAGAAGAAAAAAACCCCCTCAGGGACACAAACTCAACCAAGAATTCAGACATTTCAACAACTTCAGGGCTTTCATTTCCTCACTGCCAACTTCAGCACCCTCAGCTGTTCCGATTTATCTGCTGAGACTGGTGGAATTTTGGGAAAAAAACCCCAAAAATGGGAATACTCACTCAATGTACTCCCTCTTGTTCTCGTTGGTCACCATGATTTCGGAGCCGTTGGGCTTCAGGTCCACTTGATACGTCTGGGTTTCAAAAAGGACCAAAAAAAAAACCAAACCCCTGTTATTTGAGGATGGATTGACACTTGGGAGTCAAACAGCAGAAGGGAAAAGTGGCAGGGAAAGGCTGCCAATAATTTGGAGCTAAATCACCGATGGAAACTGCCAAAAACCAAGCGGTGTAATTCAAATATTCTCCGTGGAACTCGCAGCTTTACGTTACAACCTCCAGGAAAAAAAGGCAGTAAGAGCACTGACAGGACACTTTGGGCCTGCTTGGAAATGGTGAAGTCAGTTTTTAAAACACCTGACCTGCCCAAAGTTTTCCTCATCGATGCAGAACATGAGATCCAGCTCCGTGGGGTCGTTCTCCAGGATCCACTTCAGGGAGTTGTAATATTCGCTGTCCTGGGGCGGAGCACAGCGAAGCAGGTTGAAAATGGACGCAGCGGAGAAGAATTCCAGAAAGCCAGGGGGTTAAAAAAGGTGTCTTACCACTGATTCCATGTCTTTCAGAGTGATTGGCTTGCCCAGCATCATCTTGTAGAAAGGTCTGATGAAGAAGCCTGGAAAGAAGAAAGAGAGGGGGGAGAATTACCTGCAATTAAAGCTCGGGGGCTCTCCGGCCCCTTTAAAAGCCTCACTCTCTCCCATTTAAAGGATTTAAAGGATTTCAAATCCTTCTCTCCCAGCAGCTGCCAGAAAAGCAGGCGGGTGAACTCCCTCTGCTGAGGTCGCTCCAAAAAAAAAATCTGACGAGTGACGTCTCCGAAAATTCAGCGGAAATCGGGTTCTCTCCAGAAATATTTCAGGGATAATTTTATATATCATAAATACAGTGCTGTCTCTCTCAGCCTGGGCTCCAGGGCAGGTGGTTTCACTGCCAGAGCCCCTTGGCAGGGGCAGGGGGAGGGCAGGGGGAGGGCACGGGGGGCACTCACCGTCCAGCAGCTTCCCGTGGTACACGGCCAGCCCGGCCACCCGGCCGATGAAGGTGAAGTAGGACAGGTGGTCTTCGTTACAGAGACCTGAATTAGGATTAATCTGAAGTGTGTAGTTGTCCCTTTTTTGGGGGGGAAAGGGGGGGAAAGAAAAAAAAACAGCTAAAGAACCAAGTCTGGAAACCGGCGGGCGCTCAGATAAATAAATGAGTTGTGCTCGGGCCATTTCCCTTCAACGGTGTCAGGGGTCTTTCCCAGATCCCCAGATCCCAAATCCCAGATCCTGCACTTCCCCTTCCCCGTTCAACTCTCCCAGGACAGGCTGGGCCAGCTGCTGGCCCCACCAAAGCCACCCTGTAGCCACGGTGGCCCACTCCCACCCGGCACCGCGACCCAACCCAACCCCGCTCCCTCTCTCCGGCACTACGGGATCGCTCCGGGATTTTAAACCACTGGAAAAACCCCCCCCAGTTGGAAGCTGGGCAAGGGTGAGGGAGCAGCTGCAATTCTGAGCTCTCTCCATGGCACTGCTGAAACTCGGGGCAGCAAAGAGGTTTTTGTGGGACTTTGCTCCCTTCACCGCCCTCAAAAGCTGCGGTTTGGTCGCCCTGGGTATTGTCCGAGCCACGGAAACGTTTTTTGGGCTCGCGAGGCCGATGCCAAAGGCCCTCTGAGGGCAGGGAAAAGGGTGGGGGGGCCACCCCGGGAAGGAGGAGGTGACCCTGCCCAGAGCAACTCTGCCTCTTGCGCCAAAGAAATCAGAACAGAAATATCGTCAACGGAAATCGCTCGTGGACACTTACGTCGCCGAGTACTCAAAGAGACCATAGTAAGGGTTAAACATCTCCTTGGACAAGAGAAAAAACCACTCTCTGGCCACCCCTCCGTAGTCCAGGCCTTTCTCGGACTCGAATTCAATCCAGAGCCGGGCTTTCAGCACGTCGGGCCTCTTGACGGACATGATCCGGCGGTAGGACTCCTCAAAAATGTTATTCCGGTGCAGTTTCATCTCGAATCTGTTGGGGATGTCGGCCTGGGGGAAGCAAACAAAAAACCAAGAGAGAGAAGGATTGACATCCCCAAGCTCTGTTTTAAGGGAATTCGCATTAACCTAAAAAATACGAGGCTGGAAGACTCAGAAACGTGGGGGTTTTTTTTTTTTGGTTGAGAAATTCAACGAATTCCAATTTTTTCTTCGTGGGTTTTGAGTCCTGCCCGAGCCCTTCAGGAGTAACGCTGGGAGGTGTCTCCTCTCCAGGCCCCCCTTCCCCCCCCGGGGATTTACTCACGGGTTTCTTCAACTTCTTGCGGAAATAGTCGTATTTCTGCTTGAACTCCCGGGAGTACGGAACCGCCTGGCGGGAGAGGACGGGGAGGCCACGTTATTCCACTCGGATATCCCAAAAGATTCGGCCCTGCCACCCACAGGTGTGTGCCACGGGCTCACCCACCCCCACCCTGCACCCAGGAGGAATTTAGGCACCCCCCCCAAAATGACACCGTTTCGCTCCGATGGTCGGCAAAGAACGATCGACGCTTTTTAGCTGCTGAATTCTGAAGGGCCCCGAGGGTTCACCCTTGGCACCTGGCACCATCTTAGGGTTGGAAGTCTGATGGCCCAGAACGCCACAAAATGGCAGAAACGGGCACAAATCAGCAAGAAAAAAAAAAGGTCCCTCGGTCTTTGACGTTCGGAAACTTTGATCCTGAAGGAAAATACTTCGTTTTTTTCTAAGGCTGGATTAGAAATTCCTGGATTTTTACTCCCGCCTGTTCCACGGCAAATCCCGCGGCAGCAGCAGCACTTACCGGGCCGGTGATGGCCGGGTTCTGCAGCCTGGGGTCTTCCCACTGGGTAATTTTATTATCTGCAAACAACAACAACAAAAAAAAAAAAAAAAGGATCCCGTGACTTCTTGGGTGCCGGGTTGGGAATTCCCCGCGGATTTTTCTCCCTGCCACTGTCTGTCGGGGTCCGATTCAATGAGAAGGTTGTAGGACCATTAAGAGAGACAGAACTGGCCCAGTTCTGGCACGGGAGACGATCCAGTTGGGACCGAAGGAGACGTCGGCAGCGGCGCCGCGCGGCCCAGTTCTTTCCGGCCCCACAGGAGGGTGACAGGAAGGTTCTAGAGGTGGAACTCTCTCCCTTCCCTTCCCTTCCTCCACCTGATCCTCCCAGGATTCCGAACGCGACGGAATCACAACGGAACGACGGCGCTGCCGCCGTCGGACGACGCCCCGGACCGCAGCCGGGTGCCCCCGGCGAGGTGCCAGTCGCCCCCGGGGCAAGGACGCCCCCTCTGGCTGCCCGGGTTAGGAACCCGGGAGGAGGAGCTCAGATTTCCGTGGTTTCTAGAGCTGGGGAAGCCCTGGAAGTTGCGAAAGGTGACGTTGGGCAAACGTCAACCGGGGAAACCGCCGAAGGGTTGCGAGACGCTTGATCTGTCGGTGAATTTAAGATGAAAATACTCCTTTATTTCCCTTTGCACATCAAGGCTCTTTGCTCTCCACCCTTCAGGGCCGTGCAAGGACCAATCCCTGCCCGAGCTTCTCCTCCAAGCCCTGCAGGGACCTCATTTTCCGAGGCCGGAATTGCAGCTCGGGAGTCTCTGTCTCCACCTGGATCAAAAACTCCCCCCTTTGGAAAATCTCCCCCCTCTCCCTGGAGTCTCCCCCCGACACAACCGGAGGGAACGGTTGGGGAAACGGCTGGAGAAGGGTTGGTTCCTCTGCTGCCCCAGTAACACCCTCTGCTGTCCCAGTAACACCCTCTGCTATCCCAGTAACACCCTCTGCTGTCCCAGTAACACCCTCTGCTGTCCCAGTAACACCCTCTGCTGCACCAGTAACACCCTCTGCTGCACCAGTAACACCCTCTGCTGCCCCAGTAACACCCTCTGCTGTCCCAGTAACACCCTCTGCTGCCCCAGTAACACCCTCTGCTGTCCCAGTAACACCCTCTGCTGCCCCAGTCCTGGTGTGACTGCAGCGTTCACCAGCAGAGGGGCCGCGCCGGCTGCAGGAGAATTCCGCAGTTTTGCTCCCAGGGATGAGAAAAACGCTTCAAAAATAGGACAAATTCTGCAGCAGAGTTATAAAACGTGCCAGGGGAAGCGAACGTGAGCAGCAGCTGAATCCCCAACCCCAGTTGTGGCCCGGGAAACATCAAAAACTTCCCAAAACCTTCGTGAAGGTTCCTCATCTTATTTTCTATTCCTAGCGTGGATTTTTCACTTATCGAGTGCAAAAACCCACAAAAAACCACCCAGATCCAAATATTCTAGAGGGAGAAGTCAGGTGCAAAGAAATCTTGCTTTCTACCAGGGGAATTCTAATTAATGGGCGACTTTAACATTCTGTTTTGGGGATTAATTAGTTATTAAAGGCAGTCCTTTAATAATGACTTAATTAGGGGTGAGCTCGGGAGGCTGTTGCTCGGCCTGAGGGCCAAACCTGACTCTGTCAAACACAGGATTTTAACCTCTCCTCTCGTGGTTATGGGAGTTGGCTGTGAAGAAATATCTCATAATTACGAGTCTTGAAGGTTAAAAAAAAGGAAAAAAAAAAAAGAAACAAACCGAAAAAAAAGAAAAAAAAGGAAGGAGGAGAAGACCCAGCCCGGGGCCTTCGGGGGTGGCTTTGTGTTCAAACACCAACAAAACTCACACAGCAGTTCTGAGATGCTCTGGGAAGGACAAGTCTACAATGAAACATCACTTAACACTAGAACTCCACTAACAGAACTGGAGAAATATCGACGGGCCGGTGCAGTTTTCACATGCTCTCAAATAGGAAATAAGATCAGAACCAGCGCTGCCACAAACCTTCTGAAAGCAAAAAGGACTTCTCAGTGCTAATAATTGCTGTGGCCACAGGGGTTTTGGTTTTTTTTTTTTTCTCATCTTATTTTCTATTCCTAGCGTGGATTTTTCACTTCATCGAGTGCAAAGAAGCCACGAGATCATCGACAACAACGACGAGGAATCCAAAAAATACCCACGAGAAACAAAAGGAACCACAGAGAGGAGATGTCAACGCTTCACAAGTCAAGAGAAGGGACAAAGCTTGATGAGCCAATTAAAGCAAAGCTTCCAGTGAATGTACAGTACCGTAGGAGGGCACTAAGTCTCTGGGCTCAATGTCTCCACATATCAACACCTGGCTTCCTAAATGAAGAGTAAAATCACAAAGCTTTCACTTCAGGGCTTGGTACCTCCCTTTTTTTGGTTTGCTCCAGGGCCTGAAGGGCTTTACTTACTGTGGTCGATGTAAAAGGTCCTCCCGTCCAGGTGGATTCTTTCCTCCCAGCCGGGCTGGAACCGGGAGAGAAAAACAAAGAGAAGAGAAAAGAAAGCAAAACAAGTGTCAGTGTCACAGAGCCCACCTCCTGCAACTTCCCTTTTTATCTCTTCCCCTTCCTGATCTCAGTGCAGAAAGGAGAAGGGCTGGTTGGACTTCCACAAAATCCAGGGGAGAAATTATATTTCCCCGCAATCTTTTTTTTTTGGAGAAACTCTCGTTAAATTCTGCGGGCGTTCCTGACTCAAACCCAGACTGTTTAACTGAGGGGAAAGCTGCCACTTCCTGAGAGCAGAGAGTCCAACAAGGCCCAGGCAAGTTGTCTGGAGGTTCAGTGGCTCAGGTAGCCCAGGCAAGTTGTCTGGAGGTTCAGTGGCTCAGGTAGCACGGGAAGAGGCCGCGAGTTTTCCGAGCGCTCCGGGCTGACCCCAGGGAGCCCAAGCAGTTCCCAGGGGCGGAAGAGAGCCCGGGCCAGTGGGTGTTGACCCCACCACAGCCTCACTTACAGGCAGAGGTCCCAGGTCGTTGGGGTTCAGAGACGCTTTGGATCTCAAATGCACCGGGAACTTCAGCCGCGGATCCTCCTGGAACAAAAATACGGAACTGAAAATCCCGCAGCTCGAGGCAGATCTACAAAAACTCCTTTTTGGCTCTTACAGACAAAGGCAAGTGCCACCCTGAGGGGAGAGCACGGCCCCCGGTGCCCCAGGGCAGCCCTTACCCAGGTGGTGGTCTTGGTGTTGTGGTCGATGAAGAAGGGGCGGCCGTTCGGGGCGATGCGCATCTCCCAGCCCGGGGGCAGGAAGCTCTGGGCCCCCTTGTGCTGGGGTTTGGGGGAGTTGTAAGGGGATGGTTGTGGGGACTGGGGGTTGGAGAGGGTGTCCTTCACCGCCCGGCGCACCGGAGAGTCCTTCATGCCCTGCGGAGCGGGAAACACCACACTGCTCACCAAAACCAACCCAAGGCAAAGAGTTCTTCATCCCACATGTAATTAATGCCGGAATTTACTTGGGAAGAGACTTCGAAAAGAAAGGAAACCCCCTTTGGAAAGGCAAGGGCTCCCAAGTGGCTGAGCCAGGGGTGTCCTCACCTCCAGGGGGGCCGACAGGGTGACGGTGGGGGAGCTGAGGCTGCGGGGCCGCCGGATCTGCGGCTCGCTCAGGTGGTTGCTGCTGCTGGTGCCCGGCGCCACCATCCCGTCCTCGGCGAGCTGAGGGGGGCAGAGCCAAGTCACAGAGGGCACAAACACCCCCCCAACCACAGCCAGGGCACTTCAAAACCCATGGCACTGCTTATTACCATCATTCTTAAACATACTTTCCTAAAGATAAGGATTTAACATAATTTAACGTAATACGTGGTCCTACTCCATTAATGGAGCGGGTCAACTTTCAAATTCAATCCTAAGAACACATTTTAGTAGTTCCCTCCACCCCTCTCTGGAAATTCCTTCCCTGGCAGCAACCAGCTTGATCTGTGCCAAAGAAAAACCAACCAGCTTGATCTGTGCCAAAGGAAAACCAACCAGCTTGATCTGTGCCAAAGAAAAACCAACCAGTTTGATCTGTGCCAAAGAAAAACCATCTCGACCGCGGCGATTTTTTCGTGATTCACCCGAGTCGTCACGGCAACACTCAGGATTTTTCCCTTTAGAATTCCAGAGGTTCTGGAAGCCGTTTCACCCGAAGTCGACCCCCAGCTGGAGTGTTTGCTCTGTACCTGCATGATGGGCCGGGTCCACGTCGTGGTGCGGTTGTTGTGGTTGACGTAGTAGGTCCTGCCCTTGGCGTCCTTCCGCTCCTCCCAGCCCGAGGGCAGCCCGGGGGTGGTGTGCACGTAGGCCACGGAGGGCTGCTCGGGCAAGAAACCACTTTATTTGACATCATTTGACTATTTAGGTCATTATTTTATAACAGCTAAAACCATTTCCAAGTCTATTATCTTTTAAAAAAAGCAACTTGTTGACTTCCGTCGTTCTTAATCACAACCACCATTTCTGATTTCATTTCATACAAGGTCTTCGAGTCAAATGAGTTTTTCTCCCCAAATGATTTTTATCTCTCTCCCTTTGGATCAAGTCTGGCACAGTTTCAGGTGCCTTGTTCAGCAAACAGCCCTCCAACTTTTTAACCCGCCGGTTCCGCGCGGCGACAAAAAGGAACTCGGCGTTTTAACGAGTTCGGCTTAGAAAGGTGGATTTATTTTCCCTTTTATCAGTTTGGATGAGTAAGAGTCAAATAACCCTGCAGTCAAGAGAATAAAAAACGGAGGGAAACAGATGAGGAAATTAAAAGCACAAACTCTAAGTGATTTCCATGAAATAACTCACTTCAGACTGACAGTTAATCAGGTTAAAGAACGGGATGGTTTGGGCAGAGTCCAATATAAATTAAGCCCACTTTCCTTGTATTACACTTTCAGCAAAGCACTTGGAGAATTTTACTGGATGATCAAACTACAAATCCAGCCTTGGAATGCTGATCAAGTGCTGGGAGAAGCCAGTGGCATTAAATGAGACCACGAAGAGCTCTGTGACACGTTGCTGAACCTCCGCGGCTCTCGAACGAAGAGCAACTTCAAGAATGAAAATTAATGCAGTGTTCCGAGAAATCTTGAGAAAATCTGAGACAAGAAGGTGTAACTCTGGGCCTGTATTTCATTCAGGGTGCCTGATTTGTGAAGGAAAAAATTCCTCATCGTCCAAGGCCTAAATTTGATTTAGAGATAGCGCTTGAGAAAGAGTTTTATTACCGTTGGCTCCTCTCCACCTGTGAGAGTTGAAGAACGAGCTCTCCTAGAGGGGCCACTCTGCTGGTAAATAAGGAACGAGACACAGATTTACTGAGGAAGGCCACGGGTCGCTGTCACATCTTTAGGGGCAAGGAATCCCAATCACATTTCTTAAGAGAGTGATTTGATGGGAAAAATGTTGAAAAAAATAGAAGAAGTCAAAGCCATCAGCCACTGGCAACCAAGGCAGAACCTCCAAGTGCTGCAGGCAGGAAGAAAGAATGCACTTAGTTGCCCCAAGAGAAACGATCACTGGCTCAAGAAGGATTAAATCTGCAACCAGGCAAAGGACCAACCCCTTTGGCACGTTCCAGAGATTTATAGGTGGCAAGCAAAATCGATTTATGGGCCACCTGGCTGGGAGGGGGCCGTGGCTGCTCCAGCCTGTGTCTGAGCAGAGCTGATGCAAGGACGGGTGTCATTCAGAAGCAGAGAAGGCCCAACCACAAAGGCAGAACTGGAAGGGAGCTTTGGGCTTACCAGGGCTAACTGAGACTGCTCGGCCACCGCGTCCGTGACGCTGCACGACCTCAGCCTCGAAGAAGGTTCTCTTTGCTGGAAGAGAAACAGAAGAGACCATTTTTTGGGGTTTTTTTTTTTCCTCTTCCCTTTGGGAATTCACAGCTTGATATTCTCTACTCTCCCACATTTGGTTTTGCTAAATGTGTAACAGCAGCAGCACCTGAAGACACATTAAATCTGGTACAGAAGACACATTAAAATCTGAAATGAATTGTTTGAGGCAGTTTGTTCATTTTTGGAAGGCAATGCTAACTCAGGTTGTCCTGAGAGCAGCACGAGCCCGAGGGACTCAGATTATCCCAAACAACAGCACATTTGAGCAGCAGAGGTTGCCAGGAAGAGCAGCACAAGCACGTACAATCAAAGAGCCGAGTTGTTCCCCGTTGGAATCGGGAGTGACCTGGAGCCTCCTGCTCAGCTCCTCAGACAGCTCCTGAGGACTGCTCCGGGACACCGGGGACGCGGGAGGGGGTGGCAGTGACAAGCTTAAGGAATCTCCACTGGCACTTGCTTCCTCGGAGATGGTTTCCCAAGGCTAACGAAACAGAACAAATGAAGTTAAGGATTTGCACAGAGCCTTTCACGTCGTAGCAGTTCGAGGCTCAGGACCCACCTCGGGAATGTCCCCGCTCTCCACGGGCTCCGGTTCCAGGTCCTCACTGATGTGCCTCCGCGAGCGGAACCGCCGGTGAGCTGCCTCCTGGTTGATCTGCCTGATGTTGTTGTCAGAGTCTGACCCCACATCGCTGCGGGGCGGGGAACCGAGCCCGGGGGGGGGGAGAAAAGAACACGAAAATAATTCAAGTTAAACTAAGCCCCGACTTCGTCCATCGCCTTCAAAACCTTGGAAACGCTTCTGGTTATAAAAATCATTATTTATTCAAATTTCAGGCTAGACAAGGTGGCCCAGAACCCTGTGCAGCCCAGCCCAGGACGTGTCCAGGGTTGGAGGATCCAGCACTTCCTTGGCCATGGTTTAGAGGTCTCCTCCCCCCACCCCCTGGCCCAGGTTGGTGCTCACATGAGGCTGGGCCGGTGCCACTGGGTGGTCCTGTTGTTGTGGTTGACGTAGTAGGTCCGGCCCAAGTTGTCCACCTTCTCTTCCCAGCCAGGAGGAAGAGGAGGAGGCGGCAACTCCTCCTGCCTCTGAGACGTAGAGTCGCCGGAATCAACCACATCCCAGCCGTGCTTGGGGATGAAGGGAGAAAAAAAAATCCTCCTTTCAATGCGTGTACACCAAATTTCAACTCAAACCCTTGGCTGGGTGCCAAGGAGAACCAACTGCTTCCAGGCCTTTCTCCTCCAAGGCACAGCTGCCCCCACAATTGCACCTGAACCTCTGGGAAAACTCCAATACTCCCTCGAGCCTTCGGCCTCACCTCGGAGTCGTCCCTTTGATCGCTGTTTTCCTCCTCCTGGCCCCCGTTTTTCGGCATGTAGGCCATCTTCAGCCTCAAGAAACCCTTCACACGAGATTTGTGGCTGCAAGGCAAGGGAGTTCAGGTTTTACATCTCGTTCAACAATCCCTCAAATTAAAAAAAGCCAGCAGGAGGAAGCCTTCTCGAGCGCACGAGGCCTTTTCCCCTCACCTTCGTGGTCTGAGGAGGAAATCCTTAAATGTGTAGGGCCTCTCCATGGTCGGGTCTTCGGTCTGGGAGCGGCGGAGAAAACGAAAAATTCAAGGGTTTGCTCCCAAGTGCAGCCACAGAAAGAACATCCCCAGATTATGCCATCAAACCCTAAGTCTCACAAAACCCGGGCTCTTGAAAACTTCCTGTTCCCCAAGAATTTCAGCTTTCTTATAATTTCTTCTGATTTATTATTTAGATCATGTAGATCCATAAATGGAGATATCCACACGAGCACAGATAAAACACTCCTGCTTTATTTAAAGTTCCAGCTTTCCACCCAATCTCCCGATTTATTAAGAAACAGAAACAAACAAGAATCTGCCAAAATTATTCAAACCCTACCTCAATTACTTTTAATCACTTCTAATTATTTCCTATTAGAGCTCTCCCTGCTAGCAGAGAATTCAATTTGGAGCTCAAATAATGAAGAGAACAGTTCTTGCAGCCTTTTGCTGCACAAGGGAAAGGTTTTTTTCCCCCCAAAAAAAAGCTGTTTCCCCGCTTACCGGGAGGTGACTGAGCGGCACATCCACCTGGCCCAGGAAGTCGTCTCTGGTCTGGCACAGGGGAGAGGAAAAAGGCAGGAAAAGGGAGGAATTTTCCATCAGAAAAGCAAAAAAAAAAAAAATATATAAACAGCAATCCAGTCACAACAAAAACACGTTAATTCACCAAACACCGGCTCCTACCCCTTTATTGTTGTGATTCATCCCTGGGGGACACTCAGCTTTTGGGTATCGCTGTTTGGGACACCAGATGAGCCCCAGTGATTCCCAAATAATCTATTTATTAGCCTATTTATAGCCACGCCTGGAATTCCGGGAAGTGCCGTGCTGCCGCTCCGCAGCCAAGTTTACACAGTTCTCATAGCACGGCGTGAAGTTGAACGTTAAAATTCATATTTGATGGGGGAAAACATCATAAGAATGCTGCTTCTAGGACAAAAAACCTGGGAGCAGGCCCTGGTTTTAGGGAAGTAACACATTTCTCCCTTAATATTGGCAAATCCCAAGTAGCTGCCACCTCCTGCTTCCATACAGACACTCCAATATCAACCACCCTGAGGAAAATAGAAACTTCTTGTTGCATTTTTTCCTGCAGTTTTCAGCTCCAGAAAAACCCAGAAAATGTTCAGGTGGATTAGAAGCAGCCTTCAGAAGAAACCAACTAAAATTCCATTTTAATGATGGCGATTTACTGTGTTTTACCAGGGGATCCTCACAAACCTGGTTATAAATATTGTCACTAATCTTTTCTTAATTGCTCTAACCAATTAAGTTTGGAATGGCACACAGGAAATTGAAATGAAACCTGGTTGAGAGTAATACAGGAGAAGAGGGAAGAGGGACTGTCCCCAAAATTCACGAAAGGAACTGAAAAATCTCGCTCGGCAAGACCCGAAATAATTCTTTTTCCAGCACTGTCACCTGGATGTGGGTGACAAAACCTCAACCCCTGCTCATCACACCTGTTATTTAAAAGGTGGCATTTTTAATTGAGTTCAAACACTGCCAAAACAGAGCCATAAATCTAAATAAAAGTCTCTTTGGGACAGCCACAACTGGCTCCTTTCTTAACCGGATTAAGCAAGCCACGGGATAATAAACAGCAATTATTCAAATCCTAAATGACTTCTCTGGCATTGCCACTGCTTATCTCAACAGAACAAAAAAACCCCACTGCTTCTATCCAACCTTTCCCTTCTGCTCAAAGAAATCTGTCCTACTTTTTCTGCTTCTTTTCCTCATCAACTCGAGACTTTTGGGATATATTCAGACTTTCGGGTTTCGCTCTCCTTCTGTCCTGACCAATTTTTCTATTTAAAAAAAAAAAAAATCCAGAAGCCATAATTCCCTTTCTCTTAAAACCAGTCCAAAAAGGGAATTGCTGTTTTAACAAAGAGGGGTTAGTGGCACGTGATGTTGAGGGAAAAAAAAAAAACCCAAATCCACTGTAAGAACCACTTTTCTCTGACACCTTCCCTGCATTCTAGCAGCACTGCCAACTCCTGACTCTCTGAAAACTTGTCTGAAAATTAAAGATGGATTTCTTGACTCTCTGCCAGCTAAATTTACACTGCTGGCCACGTGCTATTTGTCCTGCACTCAAAGGGGGAAAATAAAAAAAAAAAGGAAAAAGCAAAATTCATCCTGGTCCTTGGTACTTCCCCGGGTGATTTCTTGTTGAGTAGAATGAATTCTGTCCTTAACAGGAAAGCTAAAGAGACCCAAGGGCTGGAATTCATCACCCTCTACCTGTCAACAAAGTCCTTAATCTGCAGGGAGCAGAGGTTCTCCAGAGCTCCAGCTGCACTCCTTGCAGAGCAGAGCCAGGAAAAAATCCCAGCACTGTTCCTTGGAGCCATTTCAAACCTTCCAGCCAAGGAATTATCTTCTAGAAATGCCTGGAAAAGGCTCCAGGGAGACCCGGGAGCCCCTCCCAGAAACTACAAAAAGGAGAGAGGGGGAACCTTTTCCACGTGCAAACTGAAAGAGGAGAGACTGAGGTGAGATGTTCGGAAGAAATTCTCTCCTCAGAAGTTGGCGAGGCCCTGGCACAGGTTGCCCAGAGAAGCTGGGGTTGCCCCTGGATCCCTGGAAGTGCCCAAGGTCAGGTTGGAGCAACCTGGGCTAGTGGGAGGTGTCCCTGCCCGTGGCAGGAGGTGGCACTGGATGGGCTTTAAGGTTTTATTGAGTCTTTGAAGATTTCCACCAGTTTTCCTTGTGCTCATCAGCAACACACAAACCATCAGGTGTCTCCCACCAACTCAGGGAAGAGGTTTTCAGACTTTGCCAGAGCTTGCACTGAAACACTGAAGGATATTTATTTTTAATCACATGCCTCAGTTTATGTCCTAAAGTAGAAAGACAGAATTTTGATGCTGCAGGGGTCACTGAAACCAAGAAAAAGGGTGAGTGGAACGAAAGGACTAAGAAAATATCCACCCCCTCCAGGAAAACAAACTGTCATAATATGCTCTATGTCATAATATAATAATGAATCAGAATACTCTGAGAAAGAGTAAATATTTTTCCTCATCTCAATCGCAGCCATGTAATTGCCAGTGGCTAATTACTAATTTTGGAGAAGGATTCCAGCCAAGAGCTCTGCCTTTCCCCCTGCCCAGCTTTGTTACCAGCAGTTGGCTCTGCTCTGGGTGATAAAAACAACCAGCAGAGTTCCCTTCCCCTTATCTGAGCTTGCTCCTTTCGCTTGCTGCATCCCAATCCCAGCTGGGATCTTTGGAGCACGTCTAATTCTGGACTCTCACAACCACAATTTCTCCTCAAAGGATTTCTAAGCAAGCAGAGAAGAGCTGAGCTGTGAGAAATGCAGGTTTTTCAGAGCTGAATATAATAATTCACTCCTACCCCTGCGACGTTTCGTTAGGGCACGTTGTGCTTCGCTCCCAACAAAGATGCCTTTGTCAGCTCCCTCCAACAGTTGTCCAATAGATGCCATTTCTCAAGTGTTTCCCAGTTTCCCACCAAGCCAGCTCTGCACTCACAGCCCCCAGTGACAACCAGGACACAGACACATCAAACATCAGGCCAAAGAATCTGCGCCGAAACTCGCAAAATTCAATTTTTCCCTATTAGACACAAGTCCGGCCTTTATTTAATATTTCACCCTGGCTGGTAATGAAACACATCCTGAGTGTGTCCCCCTCCCAGAGCAGCTCTTGGGAAGGGCAGCAGCAGGACTGGGATGTTTGCTCCGGGATAAATCCGGCTGCGGCAGCTGCAGCAGCTCAGAGCCCCCCTCGGCCACACACAAACCCCCCGCGCTGCCACGCTCCACCAGGAGGGGGTTTTTTTTCATGACTAGAAATTATGGCAACTTCTCCCCTCGGCTGGAGAGAGCAGGAATTTCAGGCACAGCCTGGAAATCCTCACCGCGGGGATTTGGGCTCGGTTTGACAGCCTGGAGCTGCTTCTGGAACTGGTGGTTCTCCAGGAACAGCTGATTTCGGAAAGGTACGAGGGGTAAGAAACAGGAAAGGGAAAAATCAGACATTTTTTTTTCCCCCTGTTTCATTTTCAGGATGAGATTTAGATTAATTTGGGTATGAGCACACTCAGCACGCTGCATGCCAGATCGAGAAGAAATGCAGTGAAGCTTCTGCCTCCCAAATTTTCTGGCTGAGATGTTCTCAGGCCGACAGGGAAGGCACGACACACTCCTGCCCAGAACTGCTCCCTCACAGACACCGACCCTGCACCGCTCCGGTTTGTTTTATTTGGGTTTTATTTCGTTATTTGGAAATCAAAGCTGAGGGATCCTCCGTGGAGCTCGAAAGAAGGTCATGCTGGAAAGCTGCAGAGTCATCCCTGGCCCTGCTGCAGGAGCAGCTGCCTCTGGGCTGCGTTTCGGTGCCCGGGGGTGCCCCGGGTGCCCGTCCCCACAGCTGGAGCCTGCAGGGCTATACCCAGCATCCCCGGGAGCTCCAGTGGGCCGGCTTGGATTGCACAGGCAGAGCAATTTAAGCCAATGACTAATCTAAAGCCCTCGGTTGCATTCCTGCTTCGGGCTCTCGAAAAGCGGCCGGAAAACATCGACCGTTAAATCCTCGCCCGCTGGGACGAGGCGACCCCGGGAAATTGATTTTGCCACCTTAAAACGCCGAATCGAGGCGAATCCAAACCACCGGGCCGCTCGGACTCGGCGCGGGGCTCGGGGCACCACAAAACCAGGACGAGCTTCTCGGTTCCAGAAGGAGAAAAATAAAAGATTAATTTTTCACCTGGTTTCCCGGTGCCTCGTCTTAAGTCAGCATTTTGCTTGGAATCAGCCTAAGATTCCCATGGTCTTGGCTACTGTTGCACTACAAGTGGTATTCGAAAAGCCTGGGGAGGCACACAAGTGTAGCCATGACACTCAGAGGGTGCCAAAATATTTGGTTTGAAAAGCAGAGCGCGCGGAGGTCTCGGCCAACCGAACGCGACCGCATAATTTGCCGTTTAAACGCCCCGATTTTTAAAAATCTTTCCAGCTGACGTAACCCTGAGCTGAGGAACGTGCGACAGCGGGGCCTGAAAATACTACGCTGGATGTAACCGCGACCGAGAGCGAAGTTACGTTAGATCAGGAGCAGAGAGGATTCGTGGCTCGGTCCCGACAAAGGCAGAACATTCCAGCCCCGGCCACGGCAGCGCTGCCTCCAGCCCAGCAGGCTCTGTCTGCAAGGCAGGACCGCGTCCCCAGCTCGGCACACACGGCACTTACCGCGGCGCCGGGGGTGCCACGACCGTCTGTGCCCACGCCCTGACTCTGCTCTTCGGGCCCGCGGGTGACGAGGATCCTGAAGTGCTGCTGCCTCGTGTTTTGATCCGGTCTGATTTTAAACAGGCAGCCCTGGCCTGGAGGAATCCGCTCGACCAAATCGCTCCCCGGTATCTCCGACCTGCTCCTGCCGTTTCGGGGCGGTTCCGAACCCAGCCCGTCAGCCGTGGGGCTGATTCCTTCTGCTGGCGGCTGGACAGGGTAGGAAGTGCTCCTTCCCAGCCGTATCCGAGGATACCTGACCAATCTGTCCCCCTTTGTTCCAGTAAACCCAAAGTTACATCCGCCCCCTGCGCCCGCTCCGCTCGTCTGCGGCTGCTGTAACTGGAGAACAAAGAACTTTTTCCCTGAATTTGCTGCCGGATCCGGCACATGCTGCAGGGACCAGCGCCGGGGTTCGGGGCTGGCAGCGTTATCCGGAGCCTCCGACCCCAAGGGAAGCAGAGTAACTTGAGGCACATCCGCACTGGAAGCCCGATGCTGAATCCTCACCCCGCTGATGTTCAGACCCGAAGCCGCCTCGTTGGCCTCCTCTCGCTGGGCAACCGGAGCCTCCTTGCTCTGGTGGTTGGAGGGAATGGCACAAAACACCCGGCGATTACAGCAGACAGCTCCATCCGCCTGCTGTCCCGACCCTTCCGCCGGCCGGGGCGGAGAGCTGCCGGGAGTGCCCTGCGGACTGCCCGGGGCAGCAGAGTGGTTCTCCGGAGGGGCAGGTTGGCAGGGCCCGGCGGGCACGTCCTCGTCGGCGCCTTTGCGCTGCAGCGAGATCTGCACCGAGGAGCTGCGCGTGGGCCGCGCCTCGACGCCGCCCAGCAGCTGCGGGATGAACATGGACGTGCTCCTCTTCAGGGAGCCCACCTCCGGCAAGTCCCCGTCGGCGCCGCCGCGCCGGGAGAAGGCGTGAGGGCCGCTCCTCCTCGGCAACGTGTGGAACGCCAGGAAGAAGTCGTCTTCCCTCTGCCGGTCGAGGATCTCCGATTCGGGGGCCGTGTTGCTTCTGCCGGAGCCAAAATGAAACCGCAGCCGATGGGCCATGGTTTTACACGGAGAGGAGAGAGCGGCAACGATTCGGGCGCTGCCAGGAGTTAAAAACCAGAGACATCAGCTCCGAGGAAAAGCGGCCCATCTGCCAACCGGTTAGCACTGCAGCCCCGGGAGCGACAGATAGCACAAATAGCCCAAGTGGCAAGCAGCATTCCAGGCATGATTGGGCAGGAGCAGTCAGCGCTCCTACACACGGTGACATAGGGTAGGATGGCGGCGGTCACGTGGCCCGGTTCCCCCTCTCCAACGTAAGCGGGTGGGGGGGTTTGTTTTTTCCTTTTTTTTTTTTTTTTTTTTTAATGCCAGCAAGAGCCTGAAACGGCACCTTCCCAGCTGCTGCTTTTCCATCAGGGAGGAGCGGCCCCAGCGGGAGAGCTGGCGCAGCTGAGCGAGGCCGCGAGCTGTAAATCTAAACCGCGGGGCACAAAAAAACGTCGCCGCGACGAAAACACCCCCCTTTCGTGCTAAAAGTTTCGGTCAGCGCCACATGCCAACGAGGGAACTTCTTTCCAGAGTCGCACTTTGGCGCCGTGGCAGAACGGGAATAAATATAGCCCGGTTCTGCTTTCAATTTTAACCGTGCTCCCCACACGGTCGAGCGACCGACTCGGCGCCTCCGGAAAGCTCCAACTCGCACGTTGTCCCCGGGAGCTCGGTGCAACCTCGGTGCAACCTCGGTGCAACCCCCCCCCTCTGAGCAGCTCCAGATCCCGACCGACAAAGCGACGGCGGCGCGCGTGGCACAGACGTCTCACGGTCCAACCAGCGGGGCACAGAGCTCCTTTCCCAGTTTTCCCAGGCTGCTCGCTCTCAAAAGCCAGCGAAGGAGCAACCCCAAGGGACATGGAAGCTCCAACCCACCCACTGGCACGACCCCCGTTGTTTTGCACAGATGATGAGCCAGCAAGGAGAACGTGAACGGCCTGCACACAGTCCTGGAGACGGCCTCGTGGAGGCACAGGTGCTGCTGTTATTGGATCTTATTTTGCAGCTAAAGCACGTTACCCAAGGACAGAGCCTCTCTCTGCACCCACATTTCCTCTGTTTGGACTGGGGACAGAAAGGCAAGGACGTGCTGCAGAGCCACAGTGTGCTTGGGTCATTTGGGAACGACAAGAAGGGGCAAAGTCCTTGCAACAAAAAACCATTCAAGCATTGGTAATAAATATTTCAAAGTAAAGCCAAAATAATCAGCTCGGTGTCTTCTCACCCTGTTGGGAACCTGCTACTCCAAACCCTGCGACTCCAAACCCTGTGCCACAGCTCAGAGCTCCTGGAAGGAAAGCAGTGGCTCCTAAAGCCCAGGGTGAGGCCAGTACTTGCCCCCAAAACTAGAAAATCCTCCAGGGAGGATCCCAAACCTGGAGCCCCCCCCCCCCCAGCCAAGCACTCACCAGTCTGTTCTCATCAAACACCTCGAACAGGAGCCGATGGTTGGTGGGGTTCACCTGCGAGAAAACCCAAACGACAAAAAAAAAGCTCGGGGAAAAATATTGGGTGCAGCTGAGTCCCAAAATTATTGCCCCTGGCACTTGTATAATCTGTTGGTAAATTGGTCGAATGTGCTGGTAAATAACCAATTCCATCCCCACGGGAACACACCAGCAAGTGCGAGGGGCAGGCAGGTTTTTAAGGCAACATGGAAACATTTTAAATCTTATTTAAAATAAGATCAACTGTCCTAAGTAAGGACTGCAAGCAAAGAGAGACTTACTCGAAAATAAAACTCTTCGTTCCATTTGGGGTTCAGTGTCTGTAAAAGAAATAACAATATTGACAACATGCTGAGGTTTCTTTAGGTTTGCCAGTTTGCAAGCATCAAAACAGGGGAAAAAAAAGGAAAAAAACCCATGTAATAAAAATAATTTGAAAATTATAAATATATATTTAAATATAGAATAATTTTAAAAATAAAAATAATATTGTCATCAAATTATCCAGAAATTCTCTACTGAGTAAACCAAACGGGGGAGGATATTTGAGTCAGATGATCCTAAAATAGATGTTCAGTATAAATAGGATTCGATGAGTAAAAGGTAAAATCACTGTGAACCTGTAGAAATACAACCTGGAGACGTTTCGTTCTCCAGATTCATTTAAACCCAGATGAAAAAAATAAAAAATTATTTTTTAAACAGAAGAGTTACACTAGGGCTACAAAACCAGGAACAGATTTATACCGGGAACGAAACAGAAAAATAAGAAAAAAAAAAGACCAAAGGGGAGCAACAAGCAACACATAAAATTGTGTTCCAGTGTCCTTAATATTCCCAAAGCAGTGGAATTAAACAGAGGATGCAAATACCTTTTTGATGGTTTTTGTCTGCACAAGAGCAAGTTCTCTGTTCTCATCTGCCACATACAAGGAGAGTTTCACGTAGGGGTCACTGCAAAAGAGAACATCAGATTTAACTGGAGAATTTCAGAGGGAATTTGCCATCAAGCTGCATAAACAACGGCACTTCCAGGGAAAAGTGTCTTCAGGGAAATGTGGGAACTGTGGAAAGCCACTTTCACTTGAAACAGCCCCAAAAGGAGAACCCAGAGGGACCTGGAGAAGGGGAATTCACTGCAGGTTCAGAGGGTTGGTTAGAAACACCCCTGGAGGAGGAGACGACGTCACCCAAACACTCCCTGCCCCAGGCACGACAAAAAACCAACGTGGATCCCTCACTGCAACATGGTCACTCACCCAAAACCACAGCCCTGAGCTCCAACCCCAGCCAAACAAGTGCCAACCCAAACCAAACACGTGCCAACCCCAACCAAACGTGTGCCAACCCCAGCCAAACACACCCCAACCCAAACCAAACACGTGCCAACCCCAACCAAACACACCCCAACCCAACCAAACACACCCCAACCCAAACAAAAGACACCCCAACCCCAACCCAAAGACACCCCAACCCAAACCAAAGACACCCCAACCCAAACCAAACACACCCCAACCCAAACCAAATGTGTGCCAACCCAAACCAAACGTGTGCCAACCTCAACCAAACATGTGCCAACCCCAACCAAACACACCCCAACCCAAACCAAACACACCCCAACCCAAACCAAACACACCCCAACCCAAACCAAACGTGTGCCAACCTCAACCAAACATGTGCCAACCCAAACCAAACGTGTGCCAACCCCAACCAAAGACACCCCAACCCCAACCAAACGCGTGCCAACCCCAACCAAACACGTGCCAACCCAAACCAAACGTGTGCCAACCCAAACCAAACACACCCCAACCCCAACCAAACGTGTGCCAACCCAAACCAAAGACACCCCAACCCCAACCAAACACGTGCCAACCCCAACCAAACACACCCTAACCCAAACACACCCCAACCCAAACACACCCCAACCCAAACACACCCCAACCCAACCCAAACACACCCCAACCCCAACCAAACACGTGCCAACCCCAACCAAACACGTGCCAACCCAAACCAAACGTGTGCCAACCCCCCTGTCTTCCCAGGCTCCCAGAAAGCACCACAAGCAATTCAGATCAAAGTGTGGTCAAGAAAGTCACCGCCTTTTAAAAAACCAAAAAAATTAATAAATCTGGAAAAAAAAAATTCCAAAAATATCATTGGATTGTCAGAGTAATCCCACTGCAATTTATTCCTCCAGCCACCATATTAACCCATTTTTTTTTTCTCTTTTTTTGCCAACTCTCAATATTTGGCATTTTCTTCGAGCTCGAGCAGTTGTAGGTATATAATTATCACACTTCATTTGAACCTGGGCATGAAAAGGTAAACTTCCAGCTCTCCTTCTGCAGGACAAAAGCACTGATGACTTAGAAACCCTAAAGAAACCCAACCAAAACCCCCCAAAAAAAACCCCAAAGCATCCTTTAAAAACTCTGTTATTTCGTAGCCCTGCGAAACTGGAGCCCATGAAGAGTTTCCTGTTTGTTCACTTGGAATTGAATTTGCTTTACAGCCTCCAAACAGCTCTTGCCAGTGACCTGATGTATTCTTCACTTCTTTGAAGCTCCCAAAGAAGGGGGAGGAGAGCACAGGCACCCGTGGAAGAACAATGAACCGAGGCCTACGTGGCTCTATTTTTACTCCAAGAGCTGAAACCGCCTCCCCGAGCACAAAATTTAATCTCCCTGTTATGCAAGGGTGAGCACAAACCTGGGAACTTGAAAATGTCAGAACCCTTTAAACACACCCAGAGACAGCTCCGTGCAGGCACTTCACTTAAAAAGCCCCCAGAATTTCAAAAAATCCCAGTGTTTTTCGCTTGGTCACTCCTATATTCAAACAGATGAGGGGCACAAAGCCCCAAACATGCATCATTAAAGAAGATTAGAATAATAATGAGCTACTTATTAAGAAGTTTTAACAAGAGTAGTAAAAGGAATGGCCCAAGGCAGAATCTCTTCGAATCGTTATCATTTGATGCCACCAACCATTTCCCCCACTCCTGCCTGGAGGAAGGGAGCAGTACGATGAGAACACACAGCAATTAACTCCAGGGAATGCTCAGAGTGTTTGTTCCCTGCTTTAATTTTAACTTCTGGGGTTCATCTTCCTGCCTGTACCCAGTGACATCCATGAGGAGTTTTCCTCAAAGACAGGAAGATTCTGACCCTGCTGTCACACAAGTCTCGTGTCCTGTGACTGAAGCAAAGCACCAAGTGACCAACGGCCCAAGAATGAAGGAGCATCAGCCTCCAAAAAGAACACAAAGCCTTACCTTATCCTTCACTGCACGGCCAAACTCGCAAGCCCTCGTGCCCAAGCATCCCAAAATCTCACCTCTCTGCACCAAATCCCAGAGCCACCTCACGGGCCTCTCTTTTCCCACAGAAAGGCTCCCACCTCCCCCAAACTCCCCCAGAAACCTTAGCACGGCTTCATCCCAAGAGCTGCTAAGAGAGAATGACTCACGGCACAGGGAGCTGAGAAGAAGTGCCTGGGGGTGAAAAAGGGAGTTAAAAATTACATCTCAAACTCCTCCTCCAGTGTCTCCTCCTTCCCTCAATGCGCTCTGTTCTAATAAAGGGCGACCAATTCCTTCCCAACTCTTGCTCTCTTGGAAATCTCCTCGAATGTAAAGAAAAGATCTGGTTTCTAAACGTGTTCCAAAGGAAAAAAAAAAGTATCTTTTAAGAGTAAATATGCTTTTTTTTCCCTCCCCGAGGCCGTTTTTGTGGCTGTCAGACAAAGGTGAACAGAACCTGCACACACCAGCCCCTGGAGCTGAACACTTCCTCAATTCCCACTCCCAAAATACCTTAACAAGTTCCAAAATCCAAGAGGGGAGGGGGGAAGAATTAAAAAAGAGAGGGAAAACTCCATGACACCTGGTTTTTGGATCCCAAAAAGCTCAGCGCAGGAATTGCAGGCAGCATCCCTGCCCATGGATGCCACACATGGATGCTCTGCCCTTACCCAGCCTCAGGCAGCTGGAAGGACCCAGTTGAGACAAAAGGAAAAGGCAGAAAGCAAAGGAAATCTGGAATTAGTCTCTGGAATTCACTGCAGTTAAGGAATTAGCCAGGATCAAAAGGGTTGGGTGTTCAGCTGTTTCAGGAAAATTTGCTAGTCCAAGATAGTTCCTGAGACCGCAGTTTAATTAAATTTTCTTTCTACATCTAGAGCAGACAGGAACCAGAAGCTGCCAAAAATTCCCCAAAGCCCAGTACTTGTGGGTGCCACTGGAAGTCTGTTTAAGTAAAAATAAATTACTACTGAACAACTGAACAGCAGGGCAGTGAAAATCAGGGTAACCCAGCCCAGCTCCACCCAGACTGGGATGGTCCTTCCCTCAAGCCCAGCCTGGTTTCCCAACTGGGACACTTCAGTGTGGGCATCCAACACACCCAGACCCTGGAAGATTCTTCAGTATTTGGAGATTTTTGGAGATTCTTCAGTATTCCCCAGTATTTTAGGCCTGCATGAAGTCACTTGTGCAGCAAATCTATGTTCTGTGCTCCGAGCCACACCGACACAAACCACACTTTGCAGCAGCTCTGGCACCTGTCAGACATCACCCTGAGCTGACTCCATCGACCAAACGGAATAAAAAGTGGTTTTCTCCTGCATTTGCCACCCAAAAAGAAGGCAGACTGCTTCCTGCTGGGCTGGGGAACTGAGCTGGCCTGGCAAGAGCCCAGGGCAGGGACGGATGGGCACAGGGCAGCACGTGGGGGCTGCTTCCAAAGCGAAACCAAACCAAGCCAAGCAAATTCTTCCCTGTTTTAGAGATGACAGGAAATCTGAGGTGAGTCATCACCTCAGTTCTTGGTTACAAAGACGGGGATTTGTCATCAGAACACGCTCAGCGAGACGGATTTAAGCGAAGCTCGTGAGCACAGGGGTCAGTGGCTGCCTGTCAGAGCTGTGTCTGGAACAGAAGGCAGCTGCTGGCAGATCAGACACGAATTCCTGGAGAGAAAACAGCTCCAAGAACACCAATCAAACCTGGCTGAGAGGGGGAGTTCAGCTTTGTTCTGCTGTGCTGTTACTCACTGCTGCAGGGAGGTTTGGAGGAGATGAACCACCCGCTTCCCATGTCACCACACTGCTCCTCCTGGCAAAGGAGGTGTCAGGGACCCGAATTTCTGACCCCTAGGACACGGGCAGAGGTAGCCAGGGATGCTTCTCCTTCTCTCAGATAACTACCCACAGGCATGAAATAATGAATTCCACGCCAATAAATTCAGGTTCTTTGATACATTCTTTAATTATTTCCAAAACAGAGCCTCCCAAGTTAGGCCAGGCTGGGATACACCAGAACTTTCTGGATAAACTCATTCTTGACTGAAATCTACCTCTGCAAACGTTAACCCTGCATCAGGGTGCCCACTGCAGGAAGGGAGAAGGGCACCAGCCGGGTGAAGATTTGGACAACTGCAGCCTGGGGGCACACAAAGGTCCCTCCCAGCACCTTCCCCACCCCTCGGGTTTTTGCTGTTGCCCCAGCTGCCCCCTCCTGGGCCACCAGCAGGGCTCAGCCCCCTGCCCGGGGCTCCTCCACACCTGCCACAGCTGCCCGTGGCTCCCAGAGCTTGGATTAGTCCCAGGACGTGTTTTTGTCACTCAAGGGGACGCTCAAACCTCAGCATTGTGGCACAAATCGCCCGGTTCCGTTTCTGGAAACGAATCAAAAGATTCCCGGGGTGGTTTTTGAACGTGCAAAGACAACACACAGAAAAAGCAGAAGCTGCCCATCGTTTGAGTCCATTCTCCTCCATTCTTTTACTGCCAGCAAAGGACATAACACGTGGAAACGGGTAAAAAAACCCGGTGAAGAACCTGGAAGCCCGGTTTCCTGGGAAGCCATCGGGAGATTCTCTGGTGCCCTCTGCTGCCAGGCAGCAGCAGCGAGGGAGCCCCTGGCAGGCTGAGCCCCCGGGCTCACCGACCCCCCCGGGCTCACCGACCCCCCCGGGCTCGCTGGCTGTGACTTGCTGGCCCTGCCTCGCTGCCTCCGGGCTCTCTGACCCCCCCCAGTGACTCACTGCCCACGAGCTGAGTGGCCCGTGACTCACTCACCGACCCTTCCCATGTGCCAACAGAACGGATGCAGACCCACCCCCCGTGCCCACTCCTGGCAGCCCAACACCCCTTCTGTCCCACACCCGGATGAGACAAAATCGACGTGAAGGTTCCACAATTAAAAAGGTCGGTTAATTATCCAGCATATTTCTGCTGAGCAGTCTGTCATCCCTCCCCCTCCCCTGGCCACACACTTGGCACCAGTCCCTTCTGGCTGTCCCTTCCAGGGCTTTCCTCACGTCCAGAGAGCCCCAAGTGTTTTCCCCGTGGGAAGCAGGCAGCTCTGGCTCGTGCCACTCCCGGGACAGCACGTTCCCCACGCCGGGGTGGCACAGTTGTTTTGGGAAAGCCACCCCCTCTGGTTGCCTGGGGGTTGTCCCCTCCTTCCCGGGCCTGCTCTGGGTGCAGAGTGACTGAGCTCAGCCCAAGCCCTGCCCACGGCTGCTCCCAGAGCCCTGCAGCTCTCCCAGAGCACACCAGGGAAAGCACGAGCTGGGAGTGCCCACCCAGCAGGGCAAGGTGCCACCTTTGCCTTCCCCAGCTCAGCTCAGACCCTGGGAAGCTCCCAGTCCTTCCCCACGCTCTGGAACCAGCGGGGAAAAGGGAAAAGCAACAACAGAGGGTGAACTCTCTCCTACTTGAGCAGCTGCCACGTGGTCGAGCGGCTCTGGGAACTCGGTCAGTGCACAGTTCTCCCCCTGGCACACGTGCCACCCTGCACTGCTGCACTGAGGAGGCACCTCGGGAGGAGCCAGATGATTTTTTTAAGTGGTCTGAATGATTTATGAAAGCAGCTCCCTTCAGAGGATTTGTCTGCGCTCGAGGTTGGTACAAGAAGGGGAAGGGGCTGTTATCCAAACCTGGTGCCAGGGGGAGAGTTCGAGCCTGGAGCCTGCCTGGCCCAGCTCCACCATGGATCCTGGACACAGGAGATCAGAGCAGGGAAAAAAAGAGCAAGTAAAAGTGATAAACCCAGAGGCAACCCCTAATAAACTCTCCTGTCAATGGAAAACATCCACAGTTTTAACCGAAAAGCACTTTACTCTTCCAACTTCCAGACAGCCACAATCTCCACTTCATCATTTAGGAGGCAAAAAGCAGCAGCTAAGGCACCCCATCAGTCTCCTCAGATCTCCTTAGCTGCTATCAAAATTATTTCGTGAGGCAAAAAGAACCCCAAAAAAGAAAATGAACGGCTTTGGGTTCGTTTTGGCTCCAGAAGCAGCTTCTCCCCCAGGCTGGTACCTGGTTGGCTCTTTGGGAAGGGTTCCCCGTGGTGCCCAGCCCATCAAACAGCCCCAGCCCAGCACCCACCTGGCTCCAAAGATGTCTTTTTTGGCCAGATCGATGCCAGAGACCACCTTCACCCTGAGGATGCGAGACTCCTCCTGCAACAGAAAAGGAAACGGTTGAATGTTTGCTGCAGTTCCAGCCCGGAGATCAACAGTTGGCAAGAGGTGAAGAGACAGCAGGAGGCTCTCCTGGGGAGGATGTGGAAAAGAAGAACCTCTCAGGAGGAGGTTTATCTGAATCCAGAGCTGTTAAGAGTTCAGTGAAAGCAGAGTAAGAGGAGATAACAGTGATCACACCAGAGCCATAAGAATGTAACAATAATCGCAATAAAACCAGAAGAGGATTTGCTGAACGGGGCCATTTCCCATCCTAAACTGTGCACACCCCACAAAATTCCTTCTGCACTGCTAAAGCTCCTCAAAGACAAGGGAAAAGATTCGTAACGTTTTTGTTCTGAGGCGGAAAAAATAAAGATGCGAGGTTCGAAATAAACCCTTCAAATGATTTTTTTAAACCTGTCTCAGCACTTTGGAGCTCAAAACCTCAAAACCAGGGTTCAGCTGGAGCATCAGCCTGATGCTCTCAGTTTATCACTTCGTTGAGTGAAGTGCCCGAGGAACATCTGTAAAAATGTTTGTTTCGGTTTGGGTTTTTTTTTTTTCTACCAAACTGGAAGCTTGGAAAGGTTCCTGCACAAACAGGTTCTGCCGTGTCAGTGCCACCTCCCCTGCTGGGATAACCCTCCCCGAGCTGCAAGATCCCAGCTCCAGTTACGGTAACTTGAGCCTCCGTCCCTCGAAGGGACCGTTCCGAAAACAACGACACCTCCCCGCAGGTTCCTCCCGGGCTCTTCGCTTCTGGTGCCCGGGGAAGGGGGCACGGACCGGGGACTCCCAAAACACACCACAACAGTCCCACTGAACCTGCCTGCAGGGAGAGAGCTCCATCCTGGCCCTGGGTAAAACGACACCCGACACCGAAATCCTCCCTCAAATCTGGTTTCTGGGATTCTCTCCAGCACCAGGGAACGCTGTGCAAGGTGGTTTCTAATTAAGAGAGAGGGTTCCTTCCCCAAAAGAGCCCAAAGCTCACCTGAGAGGTGAATAAAACTGTGTGAAAAAGAACAATTCGATGGTCTAACATCAGCAGATATTCAATTTTTTTTTCCTAGGGTAACTGTTCTCAATCTGTTCCAGTCAACAGCAAGTGCCTGAGCTTCTACAGCAGTTTTAAACACACAAAAGGCAATGAACTTGCAAATTGTGATCAAGAAAATTCCTTCCTTCAGAGAAGACAGCACAGAAAAACCCAGGCAGAAGCTCAAGCCTGTCCTGGCCTCACTGAAGCAGCTGTTTCTACACTGTCAACCCCAAATAATGAAGTGATCCCCAGGTAGAATCCGAGACTGTGATAAGGAGTCAGACTGGGAGGGTTAAGGAGAATGGAACGGGTCTGAAGGACAACAACCATCCAGCTGGAGTCCTGAGTGGCACACAGAGGACCAGGAGGGAGCAGAGCAGGTTAACAGGGCTGATCAGACGCTCGGCTCAGCGGGACCCGGAGCAGGGAAGCAGGAACACGCCGCGGGAACAGAGTTCCCTGGGAGCAACATTTACCACCACTTGAATGAAAGACCTCCATCAGTGATCAGCATCTGCTGTTCTCCCAGAGCGTTCTCCCACCCCAAACATACGGTCATTTTCTGGCAACTGCATCCAACATCCCCTGGAGTCGGCAAGAAGCGCAGAGACGCAGCCGCTTCCCTCCCACCGAGGTGGAAGAGTCCTGGCCACAATCTTGGGATCCTCCTCCCCTCCCTCCTCATCTGCTCCCCCTGGGGACACTCCAGCTGCCTCCCCTGGCACAGCCCTCCCTGCCCACCCCGCTGTCCTGCCCCCGCCGTGGCAGGGCCTGGTTAGCTATTAGTGCTCAGCTCCACCACCAACCGCGTCCACGCCGACTTCTGTCCAATCATTAACACCCAGTTTATGTCCTCTTGCCTCCTCAAAACATGTCAGAGGTTACAGAGTTCTCCTCTTTGCCAAAGGGTAACCTTTATACAGGTTGGGTGTTCTTAGCTGCAATTCCCGGTGCCATTTTAGGGGACTCGGCTGATTTAGGTGGAACCAAGCTCAGGAAGTGGAAGCCAATTATGCAGCTGCAGTGAACAAACCCCAACCCACCTCAGAAAACACATGAAGGAACACAGATGCATTCAGAGATTCGAGAGAACTTCTGCAGGAATATTTCTCTGGATGATTCACAATTTGTTAATTCTTTGTTAAAAGAGCACCGCAGTCACTCCTCCAGCTGCTCTGAAAAGCTAAAAGTCACTTCTAACACCCATTAAAGCACTCACATAAAGAAAACTCATTAAAGTCCTGCCCTTGGATTAATAAAATACCCTGGAGCTGGGAAGTTTAGAGAAGAGTTATGGCAACAAAAGAGAAAGAACACGGGCCCAGCACGGTGCCCCAGCCGGTGATCCGGGAGAGGCAGGTGAACCCAGACAGATGTGCTGTAAAACCAACCTGAACAAGGTTTGGAATGCACATCTGGATGTTCCAAATGCCCGCTGGAAGGAGTCCCCAGCCACGCGTGGCGGAAGGAGGACAGACAGTCCCGTGACACGCGGAGAGCCGCCCGAAATAACAATCGATGGGGGTATAAAATTAGAGCTGGGCCGCTTTAAACGGACAGACAAGTGTGAAAGGCACGAGGGCTGGATCGATGCAAACCAATCTCTGAACAGCAGCCACGCAGACTGGAGTGGATTGAACGCTCAACGCGTCCTTCCAAAGGTAGATGAAACCCACCTCCGAGCCCAACCCCGCCGGACGGACGAGTTCCCTCTCCGGTCTCCGAGCTGCCCGTGTGGGGACAGCAGGTTGTCTGTCCCCTGAGGGTCCCCCAAATGCACTTACCCAGGCCCCCAGCCCCAGCTCGGCGCCGCCGCCCCGGCGTGTCCCGGTTGTCGCCCCGACAACGGGGGAAAGGCCGCCGGGCCCGCGGCTCACCCGCGGCTCACCCGGAGGAGCTGCACCCGAGCCGCGCCGGGGGAGGCTGGGCTGGGGCTGGGCGCTTTTTTTTTCTGCTCTCCCTGTGGAGACATTTTTGATTCCGACCCACGATAGGCGCCAGCGAGGTAAATTTCCACTGGCGGGGAGGAGAGAAACCAGATCCCGCTGGAATGTTACCTGCGTGCCGAGACTCCGCGAAGCCGGTTTCGTCCGCTGAGCACCTCGGCTCTGGTTTTATTATTAAGTTTTACTGTCGAGTTTGCAAAACAGAAGGTACTAAAGAAGGCAACAGATCTTTAACTCGGTGTTCTGGTGGCAAAACACATCGGAATGGAAAAGACAACAGTCTTTAATCCGGTGTTTTAACTGTGGCACTTCTGGTTTCCTGAAGGAAAGCCCAGGCGCAGAGCCTGGTGTGCTGGACACGGCACACACGTGGTCACCCAAACACTGCTCCATTACTGGGGGAAATAACCAGGATCTGCAGTTTCAAAGCAAAATAAAGTATTTGTCACCTACACGACCAGAGTGTTGGCTGCAGCAAGGTCTAACCATGTTAGGCTGGTCCTAAATCTCGTGCCCTCACCCCCAGGTGAGACCAGCCAGGAGGACCCCAAGTGAAGAGCGTGGCCCCTGAGGACATCCCAGTGACTTTCTGAAGGCCACAGCAACAGAATGTGATAAGATTCAGGATAATTCTTGCGATATCTTCCTAATCTTGAAACTGTCTGTGGCGATTTTGCCAACAGGGTTTGATACAATCTCAGTCCTGCAATGCAAACAAAACCGAGCACCAGGGCTGTGACCCACATCTCCACTCTCCTCTGCCAGTTCAGCACAGGAAAACAAACTTAAAGGTCAGTTGGTTACAGCCACCTGCTCACCTGGACCGGGCAGGGAAACGAAAATCTCCTTTCACACAGCTTCCCCACCAGCAGCCTGGGAAGCCAGCTCAGAGCTTCACCCCTGGGAGCGTTGATCGTGTTCCTGCTCCCTGAGTCCCAGTGTAAACCAAACTGTGCCTGTTCTGACCCTCACTGCAGGATACCACAGAGCTGTAAAAAACCCCATTATTCTCCCTGAAGGAGGGCTCAGAACAAGTTTGTTTCCAAGTGCCAGCCCAACACTGAAAGCACATTATTAAGAAACGGGCTCAAATCGCAGGACTGACCTCATGAAAAATCTGCTTTTACAGGGAATTTTTCCTGCGTGTTTAAAAATAGTGTTCCAAGGGAATTGTGATCTATTTTTATAAAAATCCACGCAGCCAGCCAGACTTGAGCAATTTTAGCAAGCATGTTGAACCAGGTCACCTGTGAGCTTCAGAAATACCGAAGAGAACGCAGAAGAACCTTAAATTAATGGACTTGCTGTACTGCACAAGACTTTACTCCCCTTATTTAAGTTTTAGGCCTATTTATATCACTCATTGGAAGAATTAATCTGAGCAACACGTTGCTCTCTGCACAGCACTGAGCTCCCCAGTGTCTCGTGCAGGAATCACAGAACCAGTAAAGTTCAGTGACTTCTCTCTTCTCTCGGGGGATACAGAAACTCAGCTGATTCATTAAAACCTCGAGGTTTTATTTAAACAAATCTCTCCCTTTCTGACCCGCAAAAACCGCCCTTGGAGCACGAGCTACCACGAAACAAAGGAAGATGCTCCCCCATGTAGGATGATGACAGGACAGTGGCCCTGACTCTGGTACAAAGAACAAGGCTGGTTCCATTTCAGATCCTCATCATCCTCAGGTCAGGGCCTGCACAAACCCATCGCTTTCCAGCAGTACTTCAGAACTTATTGGGCAAGAGAAAACCACAAAAATCCACGTCCCCAGTGGATGTCTGACTGTATTTTAGATCACCAGTTCCCATAAAAACCCCGCTGATTTATCGAAAAAGGAAGCAGTGACCTCAAAGAAGCTTCCAGAAGGGATGAGGCTGATGAACCTCTGGAGGATTCTACCAGCAGGGTCACTTTGGTGAACGAGAGGAACAGGCTGGGAGCGCCCTGGCCCAGGGCAGGTTGGGCTGTAGCCACTCCAGTAGCCCAGTGAGGTGCCAAGGGATC